GGCCTCAGCAGGTACCCATAAGCACACTGAATGTCTGGGGTCCACACCAGCTGGGATAAGTGGCCTGGTGATTTGGAGGAATTGGAATTCCCAATCTGCCCTCGGGGAGTCGTGTGGCCTTGGCGCTGTCTGCAGAGGTGCTTACCTCCAGGTCTTGCTCGTGCACAGAGGCACCTAACGTGGTTCCTAGGATCTACTGTGTGCCGCTAAGTGGCAGCTAAGTGGTAGCCATGGCTGCTACTAACAGCCAAGAAGTGGAGGTTCACAGCCTTCTCAGAGATGATGTGAAAAGTAAGCAGCAAGGTGTCCAGCTCTGGCCCAGCGAGGAAGCGCAGACGGCCAGTGACCATGCCCTCGCCATTTAAATCTAAAACTGTTCTTTCTGAACTCTGCAGGATGAACTTCCTCAGAGCAGAGCCATGTCATGCTTCTGCATACATTTATTGGTTGGTGCTGGGGGTTGGACCTAGAGCCTTCGTGCTAAGATACACCACCAAGCTTCTAATTATAAAAATTTTGAGACACGGTCTTGCTAAGTTGCTGAGTTGCCCAGGCTGGGCTTGAAATCCTGATCTTCCAGTAGTCGCGGAGGATGTATGAAGAATCTGGAAGAGGGACAGCCTGAAGTGATGTCCCCAAGTAATGGACCATAAGGGATTTAACAAGTTGTCTCTTAGTGAGTAGTAGTGCAGTTTTCTGTTCTTGCAAACACCAATGCAGTAGATATCCTGACACAACTACCTTGGTCACTTATGGCAATGTATCTAAGACACTGAGGAAAGAAGAATGGGTGAATATGCATTTAAAATTTTAAAATATATTACAAAATCATCACCTAAAAGTTTATATTATTTTAAACTCCCAGCAAAGCTCTCTAAGAATGTGGCAGGCCTGGCAGTGCATGGCTATAATGCCAGCTGTTGTGGCTTATATCCAGATGTCCCCCTAGGTCTCTTATGCCATAGGTAGTGCCTTTGCAGGTGGCTGGCTCGGGGGTGTGTGTGTCCTTCTGACTCTTGGCTTTTAGCTAAGTGTGATGTTGGGAGGTGAAGTCTGGTGAGAAGAGATGGGTCACTGGGGGTGGGGTGGAGATGGCCCTCCTCCTCCCTTGGTCATGCACTCTTTGTCCTCTGCCATACTGCTCAGTCATGGATCCAGCCAACTTTAGGTTGGAACCTCTACAGACTATCAGCCAAAATAAAGCTTTCTTCCTTAACTTTTGAGTATTGGGTAGTCTGTCCTCAGCAAAGAGAAAGCAACTAAGACACCAACTACTGAAGAGACTGAGGTGGGAGAATTGGAAATTTGAATTCTATCTGGGCAATTTGGTGAGATCCATTCTCAAAATTGAAAATCAGAAAGAAGTGGAAATGTAACTCAGTGTGTTATCATTTTTCCTGTAATAAAATAAAAACTTAGTTTCACAAGACATCATCCAATTTCATTGGGTGTTGTGTTAAATTAGTGATTTATTGCAATAGTTTTTCATTAAAGTACAAAAAATACCCTGCATATTTTCATATCCACAATATCTGAAAGCAATACCCACCTTTCCAGTGTCTATGTGTGATATAAAAGTCATTTTAATTTTCGTGGTGACATAACTAGTCTCAGTACCTACAAGTAGAACAGTGGTTGTTTTTGGCTTCATTGGTCATCCAATAAAGCATGTGTGTATAACTTACCCTTGTCTATGCACATGTATCTTCAATAATTTGAAAACACATGTCAAAGCTATGGTACTGACCACTTTGGAAAAGTATAACATAAGCCCCTGGGCATAAACTCAAGAGAAGTAGAAAAATAGCCAGTATTTTTACTGGACACAAATGTTCTCAGTAGGATTAATCCATAGTAGCCTCAAAGTGGAAACAACCCATATGTCCCTCAACAGATGAATGAAGGACTGAAGGAATGAAATAAGGTCTAGCCACACATGGGCTATTACTTGCTCAGAAAGAGGAATGAATGAAGTAGTCATGCATGCTAACATATGCACAAGCCTCCAAATATACCACAGAAGGGAAGCAAGTTATGTTAGACTACTTTTTACATGATTCCATGTCCATAAAACTTCTAGAACAACAACAACAACAAAAAACCTTCTGGAACAGGAAAACTTAGAGAGACAGAACCTGAACTGCTGGTTTCCTAGGTCTAGGCGTAGAAGGGGTAGGCACTAAAAATAACTGCTGACATGTATGCATTTTGTCTTGGAAGCAATTAAATCTTTCAGGAATTACATGGCAGTGGAGCATAACTTCATAAGTAAAATGAAAAATCACTGAATCATACATGCTTATAGGATGATGTGTATGATGTGTGGATTTTTTCTCTCAATAATAATCTAGTGTTGCTAACTTTAGGTCACCCCAAAATACACAGCCCGATATCTAATCAACCTTTGGACCACCACATAGTTCTTCTGAAAGCTGCCTGGACCTCCCTGTTCCGCAGACAGTAGATGACCGGGTTGCACATGGGTGTTACCACTGTGTAGATGACCGACAGCACCTTGTTGAGATCCATGGCTTCTATGCGACTGGGTCGGGCATAGATAAAGATAGTGACTGAGTAGAAGATGCCCACCACCACCAGGTGGGAGGCGCAGGTGGAGAAGGCTTTGTGGCGGGCAGTGGCTGAAGGCATGCGTAGCATTGCCCTACCGATGGCCACATAGGACGCCATGGTCATGATGAGGCAACCCCAAAGGATAACAATGGCAGAGATGAAGTCCACCAGCTCTGTGAGGGCCACATGGGTGCAGGACAGGTTGAGCAGTGGGGAGACGTCGCAGAAGAAGTGGTTGAGGACATTGGGGCCACAGTAGGACAGGCTGCCAATGCATGCTGTTTTGATCATTGAGACCACCAGCCCACCCAGCCAGGAGAACACGGCCAGGCCCAGACAGACCTGGGGCCGCATGAGCAGTGGGTAGTGCAGTGGGCGACAGATGGCCACGTAGCGGTCATAGGCCATGGAGGCCAGGAGGGTGCACTCCGTGCAGATCAGGGTTATAAAGAAGAAGAGCTGGGTCATGCAGGCTGTGAAGGAAACGCGATAGTGCCCAACCCACAGCCCCGCAAGGAGCGTGGGCATGGTCACCGACACGTAGCACATCTCCATGCCGCTGAGGTTGCCCAGAAAGAAGTACATGGGCTTGTGGAGCTCAGAGTGGCTGCAGATGAGGTAGATGATGAGCGTGTTCTCCAGGAGGGTGAGCAGGTAGAGGGCCAGGAAGATGGCAAAGAGGGCATCCCTAGTGCTCAGCCTGGTGGACAGACCCAGGAGGATGAAGTGCTGGACCCTGGTTATGTTGGCCCGCTCCAGGGAGCTCTCCATCTGTGGAAAGTCACAGAAAATCTGTGGCCATTCTGGAGCCTAGACATGCACAGTAATTTAGTAAATTGGGAACATGTTCAAACTGTTTGGAGACCTCAGTGTCTTTACCAAGCTAATAGCTGTTGACATTTCTTAGTTACAGAGAAACTTCTGCAGATTCATGAGCCAAGCTCAGCATGAGCTCTTGGTGCTCTTATTACTAGATTTATGATCTTTCCCAAATAGTTTGGCTGCCCCAAAACTGGGAAAATAACCTTGCTTTCTCTGACTGTTCTATAGTCAGTTAAATGAAGCAATAGTGTTCTAAATAAGAAATAAGGATTATACATATGTCAATTGTTAAAGGGTGCATTTTTCATTCTCATGAACAGCACATGAGTTAAGAACAGTCTATAAAACCTAGCATAATACTTTCAGTTCTCCTGTTTTGAACATGCTTTACTTTCTAATGCATCCTGACTTCCTACTGCACTGTGCCCCAACCCTGTGGTAACACCAAGGAGGACAAGCGAGAAGGCTCTCCCTCAGTCTCAGAGGGATCCCTGCAAATTTGGACACACCGTTCCACAGAGGGTTGGAAATCCCGTTCACTGTACCCAACCTATGTCATCCTATGCACTTTGCTAATATTTCTTTATTATTCTGATGCCACTGAGGTTCACGGAAAAACTTCTGGCATGAAATGGGTCTCATTATCTAAAAATAAAAATTTCTACAGTTTATTGAGCCTGTTCTGTGTCTCAGGAACCTGACGTATCTTCTGGTTAATTTTCTTTGTTGTATTCTACTTGGCCAGAGTGGGGCTCAGACATGTAAATTTATTCACCCAAAACTCTGCAGACAACAAGCAGAAGGAATGGGGCGACCCGGCTGCATGTGGCTGCAGTTCTGGAGTAATTCTGTCACGCATCATTGTTCCAAGGCTGAGCAACCTGGAAACTCCTCTGGGTCGGACCCAGGGGAAGTGGAGAGCGGACCCTTCCTCAGCCAGCTCCAGGGCTCACAGCAGGAGCGTGGCGCTCTGCGCTCCTTCAGGGCTGCTTGTGCCCCCCACCCCCATGTGCAAGACGCTGAGAACACAGGAGAGATGAAGTCAGGGGCTGCTCGTTTGGGGACCTGACTACCAGCAACAGAACAAGGCAACGGGAAAGCAGCCCAACTTCAAAAATCAAGACAGTTTTAGAAGTGCTCAGAGCTGTGTCAGAATCCATTAAGGGCCTTGAGATAAAGGCTACACGTGCAAAACAGTTTGCTGAGAGACCATCGCCATCCTGGAGAAGATGGGAGGATGCTCCCAGCAAGAGGACAGTGGCTGGCATCATCTGCCTTCATGGGTGCTGCCCAGCAGTGCCATGGAGAGCGCCTGTCCAGCCCTCCCCAGACACATGCTCATGCGTAGCTGGTTCAAAGTGAGGCCTCTTCCTCATGGCAAGCAGGACAAGTGTCTTGCATCTCTATCAGTGACCTCACTCACTTCTCCTGGACTGAATTTCCCAGGTTGTTCCAACAGGTGACCACAGTGCTGCACAGCACGAGGTGCCTCCCTAAAGGAGACAGCACGCCTGGCTCCGCCTGGCCACTGTGAGTGGCCCAACTCCAGGCCACCCAATAGGACCAAGACCTTGGTGCTCAAGCAGGTCTCATCTCAATTTCCTGTCCATGAAAAAGTGCTC